TTATTATAACTGTAGAAAGAATTGCATTTGTAATATTTGATTTTGAAATATTTAAAATATTTAGACATATTTAAAAATTTAGTAAGATGCACACACATATCTGAAAAGAATTTTTTTGCATCTAAAAATAATTTTGTTGGATCACTAAGTAATTATATAGGCTGTTCAATCTGGTTATATATAAAATGTTAAAACTTTATAGCATTACTTTATGCTATAAAGTTACTGAGTAAGTTATATATTTATTTTGATGATCTAATAAAATAAAATAATTTTATTTTCAAATCTCTCTCTCTCTATATATATACAGGGTGTTTCCAAATTAAATGGCAAAACTTCGGGAGCGTGTAGAGGAGTAAAAAACTAAGAAAAAAAGTCCTATAGACATATGCTCCTTTTTGCTTTGTTTCGCAGGAAATCACGAAAAAAGAAAAAAATATATTTAATTTATTATTTTAATTATTTTATTTATAAACTTTTTAATGAAGATTTTGTTCGAAATGTGCACCTCTTGCAGCAATACAAGCATTGCATCTGTCAAACACGGCTCTTGTAGCAGCCAGGCACTGTTCTTGCGATATTCTGTTCGCTGCAGCTACGATACGATTTCTCAAATGTTGCTCTGATTGAATAGGCGAAGAATAAACTTCTTGCTTCAGAGTACCCCATGCATAGAAATCTAATGGCGTTAAGTCGGGCGAACGAGTTGCCCAATGTACTGCTCCTCCACGTCCAATCCATCGTTGTGGGAATTTTCTATCTAACCAGGTTCTAGCGACTCTGCTGTAATGAGCAGGGCATCCATCTAATTGAAACCACATTTCAGTACGTTGTTGTAATGGGATGTTTTCTAAATAGTCAGAAAATTCATTCTCCAAGAAATTTAGAAAACGGTCCCCATTTAATCTTGCAGGTAAAAAAAACGGTCCCACTAAAACGTCGTTCCAAATTCCAAGCCAGACATTAACAGAAAACTCTTGCTGAAATTTGTATTCTCTAACAGACCTGGGATTTTGATGAGCCCATATATCATAATTCCTTTGATTAATTATTCCACCTCTGGTAAATGTTGCCTCATCTGACCACATTATTTTAGATGGAAATAAAATATCATTGTGGCATGTCTGAAGGTACCAGTTACAAAAGTTCAATCTGTTCCAATGATCTTGAGGTAATAAATTTTGCACTTTTTGAATGTGGTAGGGATAGCGATTATCTCCTTTTACAGTTCGCCAAATTGTTTGTGGTGACACTCCCAATACAGCCGACGCATTCCGAACGCTGGTCTCAGGATGATTGTCAAAATGTTGTAAAATACGATTCCCTGCCTGCAAATCTCTTCGTAACGCTGCTTGAAATCGGTTGTTTTCTTGTCGAATTGAAAATGTTCCAGTCTCTCGCAATCTATTAAATGTCAACATAAACACTCTTCGGTTTGGCACTCTTCTGTTTGGAAATCGTCGTGCATATTCTCGCACCGCCTTTAAAGCATTACCGTTGCAGAAACCGTATACAAAAACCATATCAGCATATTCACTATTAGAATACGTACGCGGCATATTGCAAAAGACAAAATTCATCTACTGTTAAAGGCTTTCAAAGAGCGACTGACAAATTCATAACAGAAAGTGGAAAATGTAATCAAATATGTCGGTGCTAGATATGGCAAGAAATGTAAACATTTTTTTTCGATTTCTCTGAAACGGAGCAAAAACGAGCATATGTCTATAGGACTTTTTTTCTTAGTTTTTTACTCCTCTACACGCTCCCGAAGTTTTGCCATTTAATTTGGAAACACCCTGTATATATGTGTGTATATATATATATAAATTTTTAGATACTCCAGCAAAACTGTTTTTTTCGTGTGTACATAATAAAATTTGATATTTTTATTTTTTTATATCATGTTATAAAATGTATCCATGTAGTCACGTTTTTTATCTGTGAAATTGTATGATAGAATTAACATTTAGCGTTCTTACTTCGTCATAAAGAAGAATCTAATAAAATCATTTATGGAAAATAGATATTCATCCGACTTTACCATAAATTCGTTAATCTCGTTTCTTTTTTCTATCCCTGAAACTTTATATCTCCCAATTTACGTCGTACTTTACACCTCCACTTTATCCATGCGAGTTCTTTCACGCGCGATTTATCTCTCCCACGAAGCGAACGCACACAAGAACGTTCTCTATTTCAGAGACACATACGAAGGCGCCAGCCGCTCTCTTCTCCACACGAAAAATTTCGTAAGAGTTGCATTCGCGGATCGGCCGTATCTGTTCCGTACTCGCGATAAGGCACGACTGAAACCAAGTTCCTTACGGTCCCGCGAATAGTCTCACCACGAGTTGGGAGAACTCGGTTTTTCTCGACTCACACAATGCGCGACAATTGTTAACAATTGCTTCCTCGTGACGCGGGAAGCACGTGAGTTTCACTGATGCGTTTTCATTTGTCGAGGCGCCTAGACACCGTCACATTTCGGGATCTTAACATATCATTTTTGTTGACATTGTGATTTTCAGTTCGTTGACAGGCAGAAACTCATGTTCGTACATGTGTACGTTTTCTCGTATAAGATAATAAGAAGGAAGAGTATAATATAAGAGATTATAAAAGTAGATATTTATATTTTCAATTTTATTATCAATCTAATGTATTTAGAATATTGTCTTGATTGTTAACATTAGTTGCATGTCACATATGTCAAGTTCCTACTATTAGACGCAGTGGAATGTTGAATATTCTATAAAAAAAACTTTTTTGCTGAAGTATTTAAAATTTTAAGTAGATACAGGCTTAAAAATAATATTTTTTGGATCATTAAAATAATTAGAGGAAACTCAAGCATGATGAGCAATGCTGCAAAAGGTTTTGACAATTTAGCAGCCAATTTGAGCGTGCTACATAATTATTTTGATAGTCCAACAAAATTATTTTCAAATCTGTATCTATACCTAAATTGTTAGATATTTCAGCAAAATCATTCTTTCTATGTATAACCATGAAACTCATTAATGAATTAAGTATAGGGTTAATATTGAGCATATTGAAGATATTTTTGTACTTCAATACACTCTATTATATTTTGAGTAAACGGAAATTCTTGAACTTTAAATAATATTTGCAACACTATCTACGTCTGAAAAAGATATGACTTTCAAGGAAATATTTATTAAAACGTTACTTTGTTAAAAAATTTTTTTCTTTATCAGACTTTTAATTATTTTTGCTAAGAGACGTAATATTTTTTAAGATAATGTTCATGTAATATTACTTTTTTACCAAACCAATGTGTGTCGTTAATTTAAACTAATTATAGATACAGAGTAAGGAATTTCTTCTTGACTTCTAAGATTATTATTGTAATATATTCTAAAATTATGTCTTTAATATACCTATCTTCGTCTAAATGTTATCTAATATTGTTTGAAGATAAACGTGCAATTATGCTGTATCTGTTGACGTGAAAGTAAATGCGAATGTATAGATTCGTTTGCTATACTGATTGTGAGAGAAAATCGTCGAAGTATTGCGCGAAGCAAATGTTACTTACGAAATTTGATTGTGATGGCGAAATATACATTTCTGTGAAATATATCTTATTTCTGCGAAATATATTTCATTTCTGTGAAACATATCTCATTAATTGCAAAAAAATAAAATAGATGGCTTATTTGCTAGGAATAAAATTTTATTTCGCCCGTATTTAAATAAATATTTATTTCAGTGAAATAAATGTATTTCTTACAAATATATTTTTAGGCATCTTTTTCTCAGTGTAATGATAGATTATCGCCATAATATATCACTTTTTATTTTTCTCTCTATTTATGTATACGCGATATTTATACTGCAAATTGAGTTGCTGAAATATAAAATGATATTCTTGATGACGCTATTATAACGTGAAAATATCATATCGTATTAGATCGTTCATATAACAAGATACAAATTCACGTGATAATAGCATGTTATCTTAGGATAATTTAATAGACGTGTTACTAATTGTTTATACTACATGCAATGTTTCTTGATACAATCGCTTCTTCGTAAATAATTTTTTATTTTGCTTTTGTAATTAATATTATTTTAATGTAACTTGCATACATATGTACTTTCCTATCTAAGTTATAATACTAATTAACAATCATAATACTTTTTCCCCTTTTAATTAAATAATTAATTACGTGAATCTTCACACGTGTAGTAAAAACATATATTTTAATCTTGAAAGAGTTTGTTGTATTAAAATGAATTGTAACGAGCATTACACAATTATGAATAAATTTTACGCGCGTCGCAGACGGGCTTTGCTTATTATCAGTTTCTAATCATTTGATAGAGTGTCATCAGAATTAAAACCTCTTATATACGAATAAACTCTTTATAGGAAAAATAGAAATGGGAAAAAGAGATAATTCCGTTACGCATTCACTTTGCATGTTTGGTTTTTTTAAAACAATATCTCTTTTTCGAATGTATGCATGAAGTTTTATTATTATTTGCGATAATAAATTATCACGTGACTTTACCATCCTCGTGCGAAACGATATCTCTAATTGCCGACTTTATTGGTTTATCCATGGTATAATAAGATAAGGTGAAACGTTGCGCATAATGGCGATAGCATATTGGAAATAATCAAATTTGGGTCCAAATGCACTTTCCTGCATATAACAGCAGCAGCATACTAGAACAGCCAATCAAATTTTGATCCAAATTCGCTCTCCTAAATTCGCGTATCCGCGGGAATGTTTCACCTTAGGTCTGTTTGCGTTGCTTGAGAGAGAAATCCCCAAAAATATTTGAACTAAAATAAGATAGATAGATATTTGGACGTTGAAAAGAGAGAAAGCGAAGATGCTGAGTGTAAAAAGTGCGAGCAACGCGAACAGACCTCTTATCTTATTATATCATGAGTTTATTTAACTGTCGCTCGAAGAGCTTCATTTAGTATTCCGCGTTTAACGCTGGAACGCGTGACTCTCTACTTCGCCGGTTTTATTGTGCACGATATATCGAAACGAAGACAAAGAAAATCGTCTTCTTTGTTCATTCGTGGCTATTATTTTTCGCGTGCACATCGAATTATTTTTTTGCTGATCGAGAAGAATGATATTCGAAGGTTGATAAACGTCTGACGGTTATCGCTCATTGGAATTGGCAGCAGAATTAGAGCTCTTCCAATTGACGACTGTGTTTCCATCTTCCTAATTAAATTAATTAAAACTAAACTTGCGTCTTGAGTGAATGTTTTAGTGTTTGTGATAATGAAAGTTAAAAAGGCAACAGAATCGAGCTTCAATGGCAGCGACGACCCAGCCTCCCTGATCGGTTTCCTTCCGCAGGTAAAATGAAAATTTGGATGAAACTGAAATCGCGATATAGCTTGATACCGAGTTCAGTGTCTGATAATACAGAAAACTAGTTCTCACAGTTGTGCCATAGTCTACTTTCTAATTTATTAAAAAGGATACAATTAAAATCATAATGCGACGTGGAACACTTTAAATAGAATAATCATGCTAGATGATGGCTGTAAGAAAACTGAGATAATTAATTTCATGTAAAACTCACCCCAAGAACATAATTATACCGATTTTACTCCCAGCAATAAAAAAATGCTTGTCTTTTTGCATTCATATATAATGTTATATTCGCGAATAATGTCCCAAGTATTGTCATAAAATAAGGCCTCTATTTAGACCGTGAAACTTGAAGTGAGTCGTATACATAGGTATGTTATCTCGTGCAGTTGCGTGCAACTGATAAGACAACAGTTGACTCATAGTGTCTTTTGGCTATTATTGTTATTGGTTTTTACTAATATTCCAAAAAGTGCGAACAAGTGTCGAATTTTCTTATCTGCACGTGCAATTGTTGGAGAGCGCAGTTACTTAAAAAAAAATTTGTCATTAATTACGCAATCATTTAATATTTACAACAATAAAATATTAAACAACCAGTTGCAAATTTCATTTAAATATTCTCGTTAATATATACACCTGTTAATTAAATCAATTTTAATAAACATTATTTCAACATAAAACTTAATTATAATAATTAAATATTAATATTTAAATTAATCTGCGTGCTTTCGGGTTATCAGCTGTAACCTCGCTTTATATTTACTTTATTACATTTATCTACTTCCCGTAATTATTTAATTACGCTTCAGTTTGTTAAGTAAGTCAACAAAAAATTTTTTGACGCAGTCTGTTAAGCCTAGTTGACTTCAAAACATCGTTAGTAAGCTTTACAAGCGTAGAAGTCCGTACATATTGGAAAGAAATCGGGTCATCAGAAGATAACGGTGAGAGATTAAGAATTTATATGCGCATTTCTGTGGATGTCCTTTTCGCTGTTTATCCACGTATAAAATTCTCGTCTATGGAATTTTGCATACCTAAATGTGCGATAAGATAGCGTTTTTCGACAGAAAATTTTGTAATGGAAATTTTTATATTATAAAGTTTATTTCGAGTCTATTCACAATTCTATCGACAATAAAAATACGCTATTGTTGCGATCAATGATTCATTAGACATTGTAAGATTATGTAAATGCAGCTGCTGCATGCATCGCATAAAAAGTTCATTGCCACGCGGTAATTAATACAAAATATTTATTATCTTTTCAGATAAACCTTTACTTTTTACAATGTGTGTTTGTGTTGTGTGTATGTGTGTGCGGATGTGTCTGTTTAATAATTTATATAAAAATAAATGCATTAAAATCATATGAATTATTTCCATAAACGTTAATCTCGCAGATCTCAAATGTTTCATCGGGTTTTACACGGAAAATGTAATTTACTGACGTATCTAAAAATATAGCTATAATACGGAAAGAACGATTTTGCTGAACTATCTAAAAATATAGTTAGTTAAAGATCTGAAAATAATTTTGTTAAACTATTTAAATAATTACGTAAATCTTTTAAGCATTTCGAGCAATTCTGCAAAAAGTTTTGAGTATTTTTAGCAAAATAGCAACCAGCTTGAGCGTCATTATTTTTGGTCCAACAAAATTATTTTCAAATCTGCATCTAGCTAAATTTTTATATTACTTTAGCAAAAACCATGTTTTCCATAAATATACATAAATCTGAAAAATAACTTTATTGAACCATTAAAATAATTATGTACATATCTCAAGTATTATAAGTAATTCTGCAAAAGATTTCTATATTCTAACAACCTTTAAACGTCCTACATAATTATTTTAATTATCCAAAAATTATTTTCAAATCTTGCTAAATCTTTAGATACTTCAGTAAAACCGTTCCGTATAGGAAAACTTACGATTTAGCGTTCACAAATCAGACACAGAAAAAAAAAGGCGAAGGTTTTATCGACTTTAATTATTCTAACTAGAATTTCAGTTATCGCGTTACTTCTCAAAATTGTTAGTAAACCAACACATGGCATCAAGTTGCAAAATCCCGGCCTGATGCCACACTTCGCGCGGTCTCGAGAGATATTTGCCGAGCGTTTCTCCACATCCGATGGCGATGGCGACGGTCGTCGTCTGTGATTCCGTCGGATACCCGTGAACGACTAGTATTGCGACGGCGCATTCGTCAACTGATACCGTCATTGATAGGCGCGCGCGTTATGTCCGCGTGCAACAGACAGCGTGTAGCTCGTCTGTGCGCGCAAATATTTTCACGTGCGTGACTATGTGATGTGGGCGACGGGGGACGATGGACAAGGGACGTTTGTGGAAGGCCAGAATCGGTTAGATGCTCTCGCGACTCCCGCGATACACTTAGTTCACGTCCGGCGTATCACGAAAGCGCCAGCCGCTCCGCATTTTACCATCCATTATCCATTATTGGGATCAACGCGTTACCGGCGAGGTGTGACGCATTGATGTAATCTGATCGTCTTTACGGAAAATCATTCGTAAAGTCGGACGCGTCATGGGAGATTCACAATGTGCGGTGCGATAAAGATACGATCGTGAGTTGGCGGGACCATCATTTGTTCTGGTAAAGTAATCGAATCATTTGACTTTGATTTATGTTTGATAGTGCAAGGTGATGGGATAAACGTGCACGATAATAACGATTTTATTATCTAGAAGTATCTAAACATATTTTAGCTTTATACAGGTTTGAAGCTTTATTAGGAAACGTCAAAGTAATTATGTAGGATAATCAAACCGGTTGTGAGAAGGTCGATATTTTTTGCGGCATTGGTCATTATATTTGAGATTTTTACATAATTATTTTCTGTTTTGTGATTTAAGAGCTTAGCTAGATCTGTAACTAAACTTCTAAATACTTCAGCAAAATAATTCCAATTAATACAACACTTTTTTTTGTATAACTGATTTCGCTCTTCCACTTATTCATTCCCTTTTTTGTGATTTTAATCATTTTTTAATAATGTTTAATTATAATAACCATTATAGGAGAAATTAATAATTACTCACACATATAATAATGTAATAAAATATTTCAATATTTAATTGCATTATTATTATTTAATATAATTAATATTGTTTTATGCAATAAATATTAATATCTTCACATAAGTGAAGGTATTAAATTATTCTGCTGAAAATATACGAAGGTATTTTAAAAACATTCATTACATTATATCTTCAATTTTTTATTCTATTTTAATATAATAATATATAAAATTTATTTTAATATAATATTTATAGATAACGATTATTTAGATCAATATTACTTAATTGAAAAAGTATTTTAAGGATGAAATGTTTAGACTTCAAATAAAAGTTATCCTCTAATCGAATTCTATCTTCGAAGTATTTGAATTAATTGGTTGCAGATATTTTTCCTCAATTCCTAGTTTTTATTATAATAACACTCGAGTATAATTTGCGCGATTTATTCCACATACTTGCATAATTGTTAATCTTATTCTCATTTGCAGTATCAGCGTGATATAAAATTAAAATAATATTAATTTGAAATCAAAGGTGTCCAGACAGATGTTTAATGATTTTATTCGATTTCTAATGTTGATATATTTGGTATAATTATTGTTTCATTGTTCATTCAAATCTCGATGTTATAAATGCGCGTCTAATTAACATACAAAGACCCACGCACACAAACGCCCACAGCTCGCAGCTGCATTTCTGAGATGATTATGAGATCGAAATAGCTTGTTTCAAATTATTAAGTCCTAATTACCAATACTGCAATTCGCCGTAATCTATACGGGAAGGTTCTCGCGAATTCACAAATGAAATAAGCAAATGGGTAAATTAATATAATTTCGTAACGACACTTTCATGTAAAGCAATAGACAGAATAGAGTTTACAATAATCTTCGATTTGAATATCGACATTATTTCGCGCTCGACATTTTAAATGCTTTTAGTTTTGATTTGACACTTTAATTTCTTTTCCATCGAGAGGTGAAAGTTTTTCATAGAAGATGAAAGAAGTGAAATCGACGTTTGTTTGAATTTTAGGAACTAAAGCGGCTTCAATAAAAGTGGAAGGACTGCCTTGGTTTATCTCTCGATGATACTTCTGCTCGATTTAATCACTCTCGTTAATATTACTCGATATTAATGATCGAAACTCGGCACGAAAATTTGATGAAAATTGTAAAAGGACACTGTTATTACTTAAAATGAGTGGGCCTTCCGGTGATTGCAACGTGCAACCGACGCAGGTGAATAATTTTATCGTCGAATGAACAAGAATCACAAATGATTGCGAAAAAAAAACCAGAGTAACAGATATCGAGGAAATAGCCTTCGCTTTGAATTGACGCGGTATTTTTAACGATTTTATCATTTAAGGATGTACACATATCTTTTTAATCAAATGAAAAAGTTATGAAAAAATTACAGATTTTTCTATATTGTATTTATGAAAGTAGTTTGGCGATGATTTAGAACCTGAATTAAAAATTATTTCAATAAAAAATGTAGACATGTTTTTAAAAAATAATTAAATTGAGAAAATTTTTGAACAAACAAAACAACAATAGACATGTAGGAGTCAAGCGCAGAAATTGTTGCGCTGAAAATGATTCCCTATAATTTTATTCCTAGTAAGTGGGTTTTATTAATTTTTAATTATAGCGAATAATGTTCTGCGCAACAATTTCTGCGCTTGACTCCTACACGCTCATTGTTGCTTTGTTTGTTTGAATTATTAAGAGTCCGTTTCTTAAATTTAATTGAGAAAATTTTTATTTAAAGGGCATTTATGCAAAAATCAACTACCAATAGTTTTTGAGAAAAAATTTTTTAAATATGTATTGAATAGTGTACTAAATGGTATAAAAATATTGAAAAATTGTATTGAATGAATTGAATGGTATAAAAATTATTAATATAATAAAATTTTTTCCATTTTGAAAAAAAAATTTTTTAATTATCAATTTGTAAAGTCCATATCCTTATTAGTTGGATGTTTTTCACACCTAAAAAATTAACACGGAACCGCTAAATGGCAAAATATTTTTTTGGGTGTAGCATGTATAAAAATTAATCGAAAATTTGTCGCAATTATAAGATTTTTCTTGAAAAATAAATTTTTTTTAGTTATATATATATTCTTATATTTAACACAAGTACCTTTAATTTATAACAAGAAATAGCTTCGGGATGCATAAGAAGGAATAAAGAGTAATGAGTGATTGTAATATTTTACTTTATTAGTAGGAATGTTTTTTAAAAACATTCAACGCTAATTAAGCCTTTTTCTAGACACAAAACTTATTTTCTTTGTGACTGCAATTTGTATTATCTTTTTTGTCGCATTTATTGTCATTCTAGAATCATTGAAAGAATTTGCTGTTATTTTCCTGCAATTTTCAAGATATTTTTCCGTCGGAACATCTTGTTGAAACTGTCGCAAAAGCTATTTGTGAATACAGGAAATAATAGCAAAGTTTTTTAATGATTCTGGAATGATAATAAACATAGAGAAAGATAATACGAACTGCATTTACAAAGAGAACAAGCTTTATGTCACGAAAAGACTTATAGCGCAGGAAATTTTTGAAAGAAATTCTTAATAATAAAGTAAAATATTTTTTACAATCACTCAATACTCTTTATGTCGCGTCTTTTTATATGTATTCTGAAAGTATTTCTTGTTATAAATTCCAAATGTAATACCTTGTGTTAAATATAAGCATATTTAACACACAGAAAAAAATTGAAAATTTATTTTTCAAGGAAAACATTATTTAAACAACCGACAAAATTTTATCCTTCTCACTAATCTTTCTTTTACATGTTATATAAGGAATATCCAACAAATAAAGATATGGATTTTACGATCTGATTATTTTCTAAAATTTTTTTTTGAAAATGATGGAACAAATTTTATTAATAATTTATTTCTACACCATTCAATTCAGCACTGAAAATAACATTAAAATACATATTTTTTTAATTTTGTTTGAAAGATTGGTAGTTAATTTTTACGTGAATCTCTTTTCTAAAGTTATTATTATTAAATTATTATCTAAAATCACAAATATAAAATGAGAAAATTTTTATTCAAATTATAAAATCATATTATTAAGTATAAATATTTATCTTATTGAACTATGAATCTCAATATGTACATATATATATAAAGTATAAAAATGAATATTTTATATACATATGTATAAAATATTAATTTTTATACAGAAACACTTTTTACAAAGAGTCCATACACCTAATATATTCTTAAATCCTGGATTACTAAAGTAACGATGCATGGTTATATGTATCTCCCTCATACATTACCTTTAGGATATTTTAAAAAGTTAATGGACTTTTATCCTAGAGAGATAATGTAATGAGAATTACAGTTATAGTAGAGAATTAAAGTCAATATATGATTCCTACTTTATGTGAAACTATATTAAAGAACTCTTTGATGTCACTTTTACCGCTAATAGCGTATATTAATCCAGTATGCTGTACGTAATTTAGCGTATATTAATTCAATATGTACGTAATTTAGCGTCACTTTCAATATACATATATAATATAGAATTTAATACTCCGTCTTCATTCTTTCAATCAATAAAATATAGAGTGAGAAATCGAGAATATTTAAATTATACGATACTTACACATTTGGTGAATGAGAAACTGAAAAATCGAAAATTAATGTTCTTGATTGCAGGAGATCAAGGTCTATAAGAAGCGATGGCTGATCCTCACACTCTTCGTGGTGTACAGCGCTAGCAACGCTATGCAATGGATTGAATATAGTATTATTACGAACATTGTAGCGAAATATTATAATGTCTCGGATTATGTAGTGGACATGACGAGCATGATATACATGATAACGTATATACCGTTGATATTCCCTGCCAGTTATCTGCTTGATAATTTCGTAAGTAATACGATAGGATAGAATGAAAAATAGTGGAAAATCCAAAAAACTGTCGTATGTTCCTTTAAGATATATTCCCAAACGTTTTCTCCGAGGAAAATTTTACTCGAAATGTATAGTACACGTAACATATACTATAGTATATAATCTTCCTCCAAGAGGACGTTTTGGAATGTAGCCTTAATTGGCCTTAGTTATGAATTTTTTTTCATATTCGATTTTTAAGATTACCAGAAAGCGGAAGTCATCTTCGAAAAAATTGAATCTCTTGGTTTTCGTAGATTTGAATGGTAAATCACAATGACAATTAAAGATCGCGTGGCTTATATTAAGAATGTTAGTAGGACACAATACAGCATCTTATGCCACTGATATAATGTATTCTATTAATAATAGTAATAATAGATATAATAGTTTTTACCGCCAATTTCTGTTTATTTTTTAATATTTGCCCAGATATAAAGTCCAAAATCGAAACATTTATTTTAATCCGGGAGTAATCATCTAATTTTACGATACGGAAACGATCACATCGGGGTATTTTATATATTTTAATTAAAATCACTATTATTAACAATATATTGTATATTATTGATTGTTTTTGCGAATTATTAATATTTGAGAACATTATGGATTTAATCACAATTTTCTGAAAAAAGTAAGTAGAAATAAAAAAATATTTAACGAAGCAAGCTGCATGTTAAAAATTTTAATAGCGCTTTTTTTGCAGGTTTTCAATGAAATTGTTATTAAAAAAAAAATACGTTAAACAATATCTATAAAAAATAATATTTTACAATTTATACTTTTTGCCATTAGGGTATAAAAATACTATTCTCAGGTTAAGAACATCTTTGCGAAAACCGTCTAAAAGACGTCTTATGGTTCGATTTTAGATTTTGTGTTGTCTGGGTGTGTAATGTTACTACTTATTAAATTGACGAATATATGGAAAAATGTACGGGATTTTAGGGCCTCAGGTGGACGGTGATCGTCGGAGCGCTTGGGACCACCATAGGTTCCTGGTTAAAAGTGTTTAGTGTAGCCCCCGATCGCTTTTGGATCACATTCTGCGGTCAAACAGTGGTAGCG